AAAATGAGCAAGGATATCATTAATGTTTTAGAACCTGAATTCAGGAGGTCAATTCTTGACGATTTAAAAGATGGGAGATGCACCTAACAAGGGAAATATTAAAATATTTCCCTTGATCCTCCGGTATTTCAACAAAATTAAGGTCGTTTCAATAAAACTATTAAATTTTATCCCCTCAAATAGTGAAAAATCCAAAGACTAACCAGATAATGGTAAATATAGCAGATTCGAGATTGCCAATAAATAACATGTCACCTTACTGATCTAATAATGCCTCAGTGAATTTGGAAAAAACCAGAGTGTATTTACAGAATTGAGTCAGCACAATGTTAGTAGCTATATGTTCCTAATACCCGCCATCTATAGAATTTTAACATTTTAAAAACCTTTAAATATTTCTTAAATGAAGAATATAAAAGCTGTCCTAACATTTTGAAAATTTTTTTCAGTAATGAATGGCAGAAATATAATTAGGAATAATTTCACATGTAGGAAATCTACTACATACTGTTATTGTGCAGTTGCAATCAGAAGAATATTAACAAAGATTCACAAAATTATGCTGCAGATGTTTTAATTTTTACAGTAAAAAATTGACAATAAATTTTATGGCGCCATTGCTAAAACTATATTAAAATGTTCAAATATTTTAAAAATACCGATAGACATTGATGTCTTGTTTGAGGATATTGTAATGCTCTCTACTTTTGATTTACAATGTAAAAAATATATTTATTTTATGCGAATGTATAAATAAAAAAATATGGAATATTAAATATAAGGTTAATTATATTTTATTTGAGATTTAAATAATGGAACTAAACGTTTACCGTATATTTATAAAATTCCTGGCATGACATATAATAAATTTCCTTAACCATTAGCTCGGCCTCTAATGTTGTTAAAGCAATCCGTTTTCCAGGCAGTCCTCATAGCCTGATGAGGACTGCCTGGAAAAAGGAGAGAAATCAGGATGTGGATTGATAGCTAAAGGACGATTACCTACAAATGGCTCAAGTTAGATATGGATTTGGGCTACATTGAGGGTAGATGGGTGATAGAATTATTATAATTTTAAAATTTAATTTAGAGAAAAAAGTGAGCAAATATTTTGAAGTTAAGAAATTTAATAGATTAGGCGAGGAAGAATTAGATTAGAGGCGATAACCTTAAGACGAAGTGGACATGATATATTCGGTGTAGTTCAAATTTGAGAATAAAGGTAAGAAAAAGGGATAAAATATTTCAGAAGTTATAAAGGGTTAAATAGATTATTTTAGGTCGAAGTAGATTAGATGCGATCTGAAACGGTAAGACAGTAGATGATATCTAGGAACTGTCGTAAGATCTATACGGTTACAAGAATTAGATGGACTAGATAGAGCAAAGGGTCAAGACGTTCGAGCTGCAATCGTTAATCGCTGACCAATATAGCCAAGTTTTAACTGAAACTCTAGTCTAAGATACGAAAGTCGACGATATAGACAAGAATTCGTGGAAACAATAGTAATCGCAGACAAATTATCGCCAATCATTTACCGAGAAAAAGCGTTAATCAATTACAAGAGAATATTTTAAACAAGAAACTAGATAGAACAAATGTTCGAGACATTCATGCTACAATCGTTACTAACTTACTAATATCGTGTTGACGTAAACTTTAGTCTAAGATACGAAAGTTGATGATCAAAGAGACCAGAATTCTTGGAAACTAACAGACTAATTATCGTCAAACGTTTACAGAGTTAAAGAACCAATCGGTTAATACAGAAGAACGTTAGAAATAGGCGACTAACAAGACAACTGGCCAATGCTGTCAAGCTACAATCGTTAACAAAAGTCGTCATCGTTTACCAGATAATATGCTAATCATTAATTACAGAAACCGTTAGAAACAAGCAAAGACTAGGATAATTTACCAAAGGAATTAAAACGAAATATATTTAAAAAGAGACTAGAAGAATTCATCGTGAATCGTGATAACAGGCGTAAATCGAGTTCGTCAATTGCCTATAGAGATCATAGATAAAGAGCTATACCAAGAGTTGACAAGAAACAGAAGATAGAAATCAAGAATTTCAGATTGTAATCGAATACAACCAGTCCTTAGAAGTGAAGAATATAAGACAATAGACAACCGTCGTTAGAAATTAGAAGAAATTAAAGATTAAGAAAAATAGATTTGGTGGAGATACAGATCTTTAAAGTCGAAATCGAAAGAAGTTGGTCATTCGCTGATTGGAGAATCTAACTTAAGTGGAAGAGTGTTGCATTTTTGCGTTACAAAAAAATGCATTATTCAAATTGTAAACAAAAACAATGTTTTATTAAAATTATTAAGTTATTATTTAGAAAAGCCCGTCTATGTAAATGAGAAAAAAACGCGTGATAATTGTAGATTTTTCATACTTTAAGAGTTTTAACAAGTAGGATGATGAACTTTTTATTTTTTCCGCTTGGAAGACTTTTTAATTTTTACTTTTAAAAATATAATTTTTACTTTTATTTTATTTTAATTATGTTATTCACTTTATATTTGATTATAGTTATTTATTTAATAAAGATTTTTTATTTTATATTTAGGTTCTTAAGTTCACAATCAAAAACACTCAATTGAAGAAAGAAAGAAAGAAAAAAGAAAGAAAGAAAGAAAGAAAGAAAGAAAGAAAGAAAGAAAGAAAGAAAGAAAGAAAGAAAGAAAGAAAGAAAGAAAGAAAGAAAGAAAGAAAGAAAGAAAGAAAGAAAGAAAGAAAGAAAGAAAGAAAGAAAGAAAGAAAGAAAGAAAGAAAGAAAGAAAGAAAGAAATAAAGAGAAGAAAGAACAACTCTATAGCTGAAATTTAATTTAAAGAGGGGTTGACGTTATTGCGACTCTTATAATTTAAACCTTATTTTATTTTTGAATATCGTTTACATTTTATATATTATTTAGTCGTGGATTGGGGCATGAAGAATGTTTAGAAGAAATTTGTTACACAAAAATATTCTTGATAAAGCACTATATAAAAACCATTAAATATACTAAGACACACTATGAAGAATATTCCTGAACACCATATGTTTATTGGTCAAACAAAAATAAATTGAAATAATCATAATGATGAAATCATACAAAAAAACGTTTATTATAAACAAAATAAAAATAAAATATTTTGATTGAATTGTTTTTGAAGGTAAAATAAAAACACTTCAATTTATAATGACCTTTTAAAAGTAAACTGAAACATAAAAACTTGTACAATTGTTTTTGAATATTATTAACAATTAAAACTAATAGTTTTAAAAAAAAGTAAAAACAATTTCGAATTCTTAAAATTAAATTTAAGAAAAATATAAAAACCAAATTTATGAATACGTGACAAAAACTTGACTTATTAATATTATTTAATTGGGTTAATATTATTTTATTCTTATACACAAAACAAGATTAGTGTAATTATATATTTTATAATACGTTAAATTAAAATATTTCCATATTTTAAAATTAAAATATTTCCATATTTTAAAATTAAAATATTTCCATATTTTATAATCCGTTTGTAAATTATTTAAGTTGTAAAAATTGATAATATAATAATCTAATATTGTTTCAACAATTTTTTGCAAGTAAAATAATTTTAAATAAAAAAATATGGAATTAAATTAAATCTGCAAAACAGTGTATTTTGGTAGATTGATGTTTATTTCTTCTCGAAATATTCATCGTTTTTATTCATTTTAAGGTTATTTAATTACGATACTTGCAGATATTAATTCTAAAATTAATGAATAATTCAAATATTTATTAAAATTTAAGAATAGTTTATATTTGTTATTCCTACAGGCAAATTTTAAAACGAATAATGAATTAAATATTATTCGATAGACCTGTGTAAACCTATCGATAAGGAACTTGAAACTAATTAAAAATTTTTTACTCTAATCGCACCATATTTCCAAAGAAATGGTCAAAGAAAACCTACATTTTAGGCCTAATTTAGTATAAGAAATCCCTTAAAGTAGTAAAAGTAAAGGCTAAATTTCCACCATCAAATTTCGCTAAAGAAGTAAAGGGAACATTGACTTATCAAAAAAATAATATTGATATCATGGCCCATCAGACAATAATAAAAGTTTTAAAAAAAAGTTTCTCTAAATGTAATTCTAGTAAATTTATGTCGGTCTCAAAAATTATCACGCTTTACAATTTTACAGGACAGACGAAAGGATATTGATTTGAGAACCCGAATTCAGGAATATTTAACTCTATTAATCGGAAATTTTGATAATAGGAACTTAATTTAACCCGGTTTTCTAAAACAGGCCCTGACCCGTCCCAGGTCTATAATACCCCGTCGGTCTGTAGTTTCAAATAAACTATTTTAAATTTTTAAACCTGAACCCTGATTTTCTCTCACATGAATAAACAAAATACAATAGTGATTGTGGAGTATACGAATTTTCCATATTATTATAGAATGGAGGTTTTAAATAAATGCATTTATATTAGATATTATCCTATAATATTTTAAGGTGGCAGAGAACATAAATGACAAAATAGTTATTTTGTTAGCTAGAAGACTCAGCAACCCTAACTCTAGTAAGGCTGACGATATAAGAAACGGTTTTCAAAGGTTCAAACCGAACCGTATTTTTTAGGACCTAAACTTAATCCTTCTTTTTTTTATCAGAACCCGAATCGATATCCGTTAGGGATATGAGATACCTGTCCTATTTTATACATAAGGAAACTTTGATTAAGGTAAAAATAAATTTTATTATATTTGTTGTATGTATTTATAAAAAAATAAAAAATTTTTTTTATAAATAATTATTAAATTTTTGCATTCAAATAATAATGAATAAAAAAGCAAAAAACAAATTAATAATAATTCGATATATAAAGTAATTTTATATTTTATAAAAAGGTTACAAAAAAAATAAATATTTAAAGTAGCATCCGATATTTTTTTTTTATAAAAGATTAATTTTAAAAAAATGAAATAAATTTGTATTTTTTATTTCAAATTAAGAAAAAAAAATCACGATAATTTTCAATAAAGTTTATTTTAAAACCGTTTTGTTTTTTTATAATTATGCTAAAAAATTATTTTTTAAAAAAATAAATTGCAATAATAATTATTATAAAAAAAATGACGATGTAGAAAGATTTTAGAGACTAAAAGACGCCATTTTTTATATGCAAAACTGACCTGATTAGAACATTGATTTTATATTAGTACCTTAATGACAAGTTTTGAAAAAAAGTTAAATAATATTGATAACAATTAATTCATAATTAATATTTATATCATTCAAAAAAATGTGCACAATAAAAGTTTGATGATGTAGATAATATAATTTAAAAGTTTGTTTATTGTGGGCGGCGATGGTGGGAGAGGGGACGTAATAATAATTTGCCAAAATTTTAAATAGAAAAAATCATTTAGAAAATATCGTCTGCGATTTTAATTGAAGTAGACGTATTACTATCACCCATTGAATAATAAAATTTATAAACTTTAAAAGAAATAGTAATTAATCCAATTAAGAGATCTAAAAACACTCGAATACTATAATATTTTCAAAAGCAAACAAGAATAAGAAGAGGTTTAAAATTAATATAATATTATTCATAATTTTCCATTTTTTAAAAAAATTCCAAAAAAAAGATAAAATCAAACGATAGAAAAAAAATTCTTTATTATAATAGATTGGATGGATGTTCAAGAAAAATTAATTCAAATGATGCGTCTTGACAAACGTTATCAAAGAGTTGGTAGAACTATCGTGCAAAGAAGGGTCAGTAGCTTCGGGCTTAGATGTATCCTGCAAATCGGACAGAGCAGTTAGAGCCAACTTTTTGCCCAATTCGACTCCCCATTGGTCGAAGGAGTTGATGTCCCAGATGATGCCCTCTACGAATATCTTGTGCTCGTACATGGCTGGGTAAATTAATTTTATAATAATATATAATAAATCTTTAGATTGTACCCTTATGGTGACGTAATAAGGATTTATGAGCATGTGTTCAATAAGAAATAATTGAAAAAAAATGCATACATATCGTCAGCTGAGTATTAGTGTTCCATATCCATTTTTTCATAATTTTTCGGGAGAAATTTTAGATAGGAAATCGCGTAATAATCCAAATAAAGTATTATTCTAAGTTACATTTTAACATTTTTTATTGGTCATATGGAAGAACACAGTACTGTAGGAACTGATTTATCAAAAAAATGTGGATATAGACACTACAGAGTGTGACAGAAGATTTTTTTATATCTTGTACTCAGTATATTTTTGAAATTTTTAATTAGATACTAGTATCTGTATCTAAGATCCTTTATTTTGAAAAAATTTTCATTTCTTGACAAAATATATAGATACTTTTTAATATTTATGTTAAAAAAATTAATGAATCATAAAATATAACCTTATATTCTTGATGGAATCTTATATTAAATAATATATAGTTATAACCAAGCTAGAAAATTTATAATACACATTAAGATAGATAAAAAAAAATAATAATACCAAAAAAAGAATACATTTATATATATATAAATTTAAATTGATAGAATATCATTATCAATTATATGTAATATTTTTTATAGACTTCGACAATATTTAGTTACAATAAATTCATATAATCAGTCAGGATTATTAGAATTTTAAAAAAAACGGGCAAAAATGATTTAAGTTTTGTAATAGTATTTAGAGTGCATTTTTTTAATTTAAAAAATAATCTAAGAATTTCTGTGGTTCTAGAAGCATAATCGTCAGACAATTTGATCATAAATTTTTATCCATGTTTTACTCGCTTACTGCAGTAGGCGATTTGAATAAGATATTTATCATCATTTAATATAAATTTTCAACAGATAACTAACTGGGTAAACATTGATTATAAATATATATATTATATCTATCATCGGATCTTTAGCCATTTCTTCTAATAGATTTATGGTTAATGGGATCTTGGTATATATTTAATAAGTAATCTATTATTACTTGATTGTGTAGTAAGTTACCCTTAGGTAAATTTTCAACCTTTTAAATGTAGAAAATTACATCTCATTTGTGCATGTAGTTGATAGTAGAGTCGCGAATATCATATTATGATCAGATTTATCGTTTGAGGATAATGCAGTAACAATAATCACGAAGAAAATAAGTTATTAAAAACGACGAAAGTTTATAAAGAGTAAAATTATTCACAAGGAAAATAAAAATTTATACCATTTAAATTATCTTTTAATCAATTTAATAATGAACACATATAATTTTAAAAAAATGCATATATTAAATATGAATCATGTATTTTTGGATTAGGGGGTGTCCCGAACCGGAATCATACCTCATAGTCACGACACATCTCTCTGTAATATATATTAGAATCTCATATCAAATGTAATACACCTTGAATGATTTGTTAAATATGATCACTTGAAACAAAAAATTTTCTTATCAAATTAATAGATTATAAGAACAGGTTTCCTATAAAAATCACTCACTAACTCTTCCATTATTTTTATCCAAAAAAAAGAAACCTATGAGCATGCCCAGGCTGAAGGGAGTCAGTTTCTGGAATATCATGCTATTGGTGGGCCTATTTCCTTCGAACACTCGGTGCACCATTATCTTTTTGATTTTTTCGTCCTCTACATCAAGCCCTTTATCGGTGTAGTCCTTTTTAACTTCCTCAAGAGTTCTACCTTTCATGAGGGCCTCGGGTTGGGCCAAAAAATTGGCAATCAACATCTACGTATATATATAATATATATGTGTGTGTGTATATAATGTAGCATAAATATTTATATTGTATAAAATGTACTATGTTCTGAAACAGCATATATTCTCAAATTGGCAATATTTACATTAAAATTTATTACAAGAAATTCTCCTTTGAAATTATTTATTTTCCCAGTAAATTTCTGTATTCCATGTAGACTAATTTTTACCAATTTTTTTTAGCAGATATCAGTATATTTCCAATCTTAATTTATACCTGTTGATGTAGTCCGTGATGAATAGGATTATGGGTCTTTACAGGGGCCAAAAAATCGCAGGGAATCAGCCTGGTTCCCTGATGGATCAATTGGTAGAAGGCGTGTTGTCCGTTTGTTCCGGGCTGGCCCCATATGATGGGCCCGGTGTGATAAGTAACGCGTTTTCCACTACGCGTAACGTATTTGCCGTTAGATTCCATATCGCCTTGTTGGAAGTAAGCCGGAAATAAGTTCATGTACTTAAACGAATGAATGCAATTAGAAATTTGTAGTAATAACAAAGGTAAGTCTCTTACCATTTTTGTTTTTAATTATCATTTACATATATGAGAAGAAAAAATATTCAGAATAATTCGCTTCCATTTTCTAACGTCTCGTTATATGGCTTTGCTCTAAGCGACTACAAAACACTTTAACAAAAAATCAACATCACGCTTTGAGAATGATTCAAGAATTCATATAAGGATTCAAAAAAAAAATTAAGGTGACCGAAACCAAAATAAAAAGGGAAAATCAATGATAAATATTATGTTATCATTATTTTTGTATAAAGAAAAGTATACGTATTTCTTAACCTATATCTCACAAACCAGATTTATAATATACCGTCTGCTCATCGAGTACGAATCTTTATAAAAAAACACAAAAAACAATTAAACAAAAAAAACTGTCAACTGTAAATTATTTACAAAGGAAAAACAAGGCGTGTCATCAGCTAATTTAAATTGATATACATTTAAATCAATAAATGAATGCGTCAGTTTAGGTGGTATTATATGTCATTGCCTCTAATTATCAACGTTTTATTGCCTTAAATGATCATTCCTATGGTATATTCTAAGCCTACGGTTTCCGATCCCACAAATAAAATAAGGCAAATTAACAATTTTCTCGGCTCAGCCTGGAGGGCGTCTAAAACGAAACGATTTACAAACACTAAATATGATTGGTCGAATATTTTTTATTTTGTTTTAAAAAAAACTTGATCGTAGGGAAGGATGGCGTGAGAAGCGGCTTGAAAAAAATTTCCATACCATATGGAAATCATGGCGAGGATTACGGGTATCTATTAAAAGAAGTATAAAAAAAATTATCAGAAAAATTTCAATCATTCATCGTCATTCCCATTTTCGTTTGTTTCTAAATTCCTTCTTTGGAAAACTCGGACAAGGCAGACTCAAAAAAAGATATATTAATTTAATTTTTATATTTTATATAAAGCGGAGAGCGAAATGTAACATGATATAGTCGCTAGATTATCGGAATGTTCCAACTGACATTTTTTTTAAATGAGTTAGTTTAATAAATGGATGGATGTTATGATAATCATTATGAAATACCAAAAGTAAGTGGATGAGATAAAATATGCTTAGAAGCAAAAAATAGTTAATAAAAATAATATTATGTATCTTAAAATCTTAGTATCAAAATTATAATTATTTTTGCATAATTTTTTTTTTCGTTCAAATTTCTTTTATTTAAGTAAATGTAAAAAATTTACTTTAATATGATTTTATGATTTTTATAAAAACGTAATTTAAAGCAATTATGATAAATTATTTGGTTTATATAAATTAATCATCTTTGCCTCAATTCTATTAAGAAAATGTCTAAATACATTAAATAAATATCATATTTTTTTGCAAAAAAATCTTTTAATTAAGTGTTGTTAATTGGCTCGATTTGAGCCGATTTTTAAAAAACCGCTGGCTTGCTTTTATAATTTTCCCAATTATTTAATAAAATATTATTTAGCAAAAAGATAAAACTATAATAAACAAAAACAGTTTACGCTTGAACAATGTAAAATTTTCAATAAAATATTGTTATAATATTTTTGAGACGATTTGTGTTTGAAAGATTTGTAACAAAATTGGTAGAGTGTATTTTACCAAACGATTTTTAAAATCTTGAGGCTTGCGTTATATTTTTCTGGAGAAAATATTGAGTTAGCAAAAAAATCGACTCCAATCGAGTCATTTAACAACACTAGTTTTAATTCTTTATGCCATATGTTCCGTCAATTTGGACAATAAATTTACCACGATATAATATTAGAAATAAAAGTCATGAACAAAAAAAATAAAGCACTCCAATATTCAAAGACGACTATGTTGGCGTGGTTTTTATTATAAGCTATTTAACAAATAATTCATTCATTCACTGCCCCTTTCGTACTTATATCGTATATTCTTACGAACTAATTTTATGAGTTTTTATGTTTTCTTAAAAATTAATTTACATTTTGGTTATATTCGGCTGAGCGAAAGTGATTGTCCATGAAATGGCCACCAGCGAGAAAGGATTCGAAATTGTCCATACCTACATAATTTATGTTTTTCCCCCAATATGTATATAAAGGCCCGGGGATATAGAATATATAAAATTATACAATACACCCCCCCCCCTTCCCATTCCTCGAAGCACAAATAGGAACTTAAAAAAAGGTATTTCAATAACCTTTTAAGTTTTTGGTTCTAAATGGCCAAAAATAATCAGAACTTCCATAATATAATGATCTCTTTATATAAAATTAATAATTGATAAAGATAAATAAGTGACTCACCTATACTGATGGCGACGGATAGACCGATAGCTGACCATACGGAATATCTTCCCCCTACCCACTTCAGATTAAATAAATATATAAAATTATGAATAGATGAGAGAAAGAACGAAAAAAAATATCACCCAAATATTAGATTATAATGAAATGATAATCACCACTTATATATGAATATTTATATATTAGAGATCTGAGGGACCTATTTTTAAAAAAAAAAAAATCGTGTTCGGCTAGGTCGTGCCAAATATTTTTTAAAAAAATTAGGGCCGGGTAGGGCCTTGGATTAAATATATCTAAATTCATTAATTTTATGTTGAGTAAAAAATTTTTTAAAAATATGAATTTCTATTTAAACAAATTCGGGCTGAGCTAGACCGGCAAAATTTTTTAAAAAAATTTCGGGTCGGGCCGGGATTGAAAAATTAGGCCCAATGCAGATCACTAGTATACATTTCATTCGCTGAAGCCATGCAAATCAAAAAAGCAGCAAATAATTAGTATCTTTATTATGATTCATGTTTAGACTTATTCGAAAACGAATCGAATTAGTAAATTCCAACTCATTAAAAAAAAAATTAATAACGTGACTTGTCAGATTTAACAAGTTATTAATAAAAATGATTAAATTTTTATTTAAAACCCTCATAAAACCCATATGTGGTAAACCTTTAATTAATCCTAATCCACATCTTTCTACCCTTTAATCCACTTACTTGTTTTAACTGTATATATATATATATAATATATATTTCGTCCAATTAAAAAAATTTCCTTGTGTTGCATATTCCTTGAGTTGGGTTATTATCCATAATTACACCAATCAAATAAGAATGGTAAATTATTCAATTTACTTTTAAAAAAATCGACTCATATTTATTTGAGTAGTATTCGTTTTCAGATAGTTCCAGCATGAATTTAAAATTATATATATTAATTATTATTAAATAAAATGTCAATCAACATCGAACGAATCTTACATCCCAAAAGGCGAACATATTTTTGCTGTCGATACCAAACTTTTCTACTTCTGCCTGTATAAAATAAATGATAAGAGTTAAAGGAATAACAACAAATAAAAAAAAATTAACTTATAATTAAGATTTCCACTAAATCTTAAAAAGGGGGGTGGGGGTGATTATAAAGTAACAGGAGATTTAAATTATGAGACCATTAAGAGCCATTGGGAGTAGAGTAATGTAATGGCTGAAAATAGGCAAATCAGCTTCAGAGTTTGAATGGCCTTTTCAATATAAAAAAAAATCTTAAAAGATTTCAATCTCTCAAGATTTGTATAAAAATGCTCAAAAGTTTTTGATCAAATTTCGCCTATTATTTCAAATCTTTTTCGTAAAAATCCCAATTAAACTTTAGTGATATTATATGCATAAAAAAACAAAATGATCTACGAAGAATTATATGATAAATTCAATCGTATTCGATTAATTCTCGGGCTAAAAACATATAATTCTTGCTTGTATTTCATTAGTTTTAATAAACGTTCCATTTCTTTTAATTTTTATGATACACCTTCTATTACTGGTTGATCGCACATAAAATCTGACCATATAAATTATATCGCTAACATTCTTATTCCTCCTGATGATATTATTTTGGTATTTAGGCGCTCATAGATGCCAAATGGAATCATTGTTTTTTTTTAAAAAAAATACATTGTAAAATAAAATTTAAACTAAAAAAAATTTTTCATCCAAGGAGTATATAAAATAAAAAATTAATAAAAAATAAAAATTTTATTTTTATTTATTAAAATTGAAGCTGATTACAGTTTTGAGCTAAAAACTAAAATTTACTGCTAAAAACTAGGACTGACGGCTAAAAACTAAGATTGACGGCTAAAAATATACAGAATATCTAGCCAATAAATAGAAATTTGGGGTTCGCGTTAATGGACAGTTAAGCGCCATTCAAATTTGAAAAGAATGAAGGAAAATGTAATAAGTGGCAAAACTTAAATTTCGATTAAGAATTTCATTTATAAAAAAAAAATCAGGAAATAAAAAAATTTATATTTTCTTACACTTTACCTTGTTAGTCGAGAGGGCCACGAAATGTTTTGCTACCGTTACCGGCTAATATTATAATTAAACAAAATTATAGAATACTATGTTTAATTAATTTTTAATGTTCTCATTTCGGATTGCCATTTTTTTTATTTATTTCTTTATTCCTTCCTTTCTAACAAAGGGTTCAAAAGCCAGTTTTTTAAAATAAATAAATAAGATATATACCTCGTGGAGTAATTAAATTAAATGGGCAAGTTTAAAAATCGTTTGGTAAGTATTTTATTAATTTCAGCAAGTTATTAAATTAATTTACAAGTTTCGTTTAGACCTGAGCAGTACATAAATTAAATGGACAGTTTAAAAATCGTTTGGTAAGTTGATAGAAATTTTAGCACGTTATTTATTAAGAATTGATTTTTGAATTTTTTTATTTTGATGTGTATTATATTTATTTTAAGTATCATTTAAAAATTATATTTTTTAAAAAAATTTGTATATAGTGGCAGATATTGAGTTGAGATTGCATTTAATTTTCAAATCACATTCCTGAATTTATAAATATTAAATTTAAAAAAATGAAAAAACACTTTCAGTTTATGATTGGTTGATGATATTGATTCATTTTAAGCGATAATTTTTTTTAATTACAAACTGTCTGAACAATTATTAAATTAATCGAACGTTTTTATGGCTCAATATTTTAATAAAATACTGCTCCAAAACCTTAATTTTAAAAAATATTGCCCACTTTTGATTAATTTACTGCCCTGCAACATTAATATTTATGAGAATAAAAAAAATATTACCCAATGAATTAGAAAATATTGATAAAGTAATATAATGTTATCGATAATATAACTTACATCTTTTGCGTGTTCCAAGAACCATTCCTTGGCGGAAACGGCATTAGTAATGGTTTCCATAGTTGTAAAAGTCTTATGGCATTTTTGGAAATTCAAAAAAAAAAAAATTTGTTAAATTGTATAACATCCCTAGAAAAATTTGTATCTTTAATGAATCAGTTGATTTCCACTTTAAAAAAAAATTATTATATCCTGGGCTTGCCAAGCCCATCTCATTTCATTAGCCCTAAATTTATTTATCAGCATCAAGATTGATTTCGAAATGCGTTACATTTATACCCACCAAATCTAATGAATTAGAACTCCAACAGCGACATATATATTTTAGAGTTCTGTCCCAACCACCGATTAATGCATAAATTCCGATAAAACCAAGTAATTATTTTAGCACTTCGAATATCTTTCGATTGCTTAATATGATAATAACTTGGAATATAAAAATCATAATAAGCTACTTTTGTATTTAACTCAATTTTTATATGGGCCCGCAGCCAGAGCCGCTTTGGCTCCTTTAGAGGCCGAGGTATATAAAAAATATGAAATTACCGAGCCTCAAAAAAGGCAAATATATATTTCTCTTTTAAAGCAAACAAAAATAGTGTTAAATCTTCTACTTTAGAAGCCACGATAAAAAGGGTCGTTTCTGGATCGCAGAGATTTAAAGCCATTTTGAGGTGAGTCCCGTCAATGTTGGAAACGAAATATGTGCATATACCGGGTTTAGAAAAGCTTGCTAGAGCGGATGTCACCATACTTGGACCCTAATTTTTTTTAAATTCAATTATATTTGATTCTTTTAATATATTAAACCTTATTTGTAAATATACGCCCATATCTATAAAATATATTTAAGAGAAAACCTTTTTTTAAAAAATAAATATTTAAGTTAAGTCGGTGGGGCTTAATGACCCATGTATAGATTATACAGTTGGATCAATCAACGCATGGTTTCATTAAAATGCGAGTTGCATCAATATCAAAGCCAATGCTTTGCATGGTTAAAAGTGTTAGTAGTTGAAATCGCGATAATTAATTTTTTTTTTGAAAAAGAAATTGATTGTTATCATCAATAAAAATATCTGTAACATCATTCAAGATTTATCAATTTTTCCAAAAATACCAACAAATTGAACATAAATTTTAAGCAAGACTTATTTAAATATTCTTAATGGAATGTTAAGCCGTTTTTAACCATTAATTTTAAAGAAAAACATTAATAATTTTAAAAATTAGATAAAAATTTTTTTTTGATTTATTTTTAAAAATTAATTATTGTTTGTGGTTATATTAAAAAAAATTCCCACCATTTGGATATTTGTTTGAACCAAAATGAATGAAAATAAATCATAAACATCGATAGATCGGTATCAGCAAATCTCTGCTTCAAATCTCATATTTCATGATGAAAGAATATCATGTTTTAATGCCTAAATGCCAAGTTGCTCGAGTCTTCTCCAGAGAGATTTTTTTAAAAAAACATTAATCCCTTGGCGAGAAATTCCGCCATAAAATTCGTTATACCCAGTGAATGAGTAATTAATGATATAAAAATATACAACCAGTTTCGTTTTATATTACCAAGTCTGAACCTCCTATGCCTATGTTAACGACGTCTTTAATGGGTTTTCCGGTATAACCTAACCAAGTACCGTCTCTTACAGAGTCGCTAAACTCCTTCATGTGAGCTAGAACACCGTTTATCTCATCCATAACCTAAAAAGAAAATAAAAACAAATTATTATTATATTTATTGTTTAATATGGAATTTTGTGAGTAGCTCATTGAAACCTGACAATCCACCCATTAATATTTGTTTTCAGCCCCGTAAATTAGCATGATTTGAATAATAATTTATATTTGGTTCTAATAAAATTTAGCTTGAATTCAAATATATAATTTAGGTGCTCAAAAAATAGCGGTACATTATTAACAATTTGAAATAATTCAAACTAATATAGATTCCTTTCTGAATTAGCGTAGAAGATAGACCTAAACAAGTTTCATCACTTAACTTGGAATATACTAATTTATTAATTATATAGATGTACTATGAGTGCAATCATATTATTCGAGTCAAAGAAATTTCAATGAATCGAAATGAGTTTTTAGGTGTAAAGTTCCAGAAGAAGAGATATACGCTCATAAAGTAAATATAAATTTTTTATTTTTCCAATAATTATGCAGGGATTAGCAGATGTTCGTTGCTCAAACCTGAGCTTATATGATAAGAATTAATACAATGCAGTTTATAAATATCAATTAATTCTACCATTAATGTAAAAATGATTTAATTTAAATAGTCTAAAACATTACATTTAAATTTAACTATTTAGAATTGTATTGTCATCATAAATGGGCAAATATTAAATATTGATAAAATAATTTTTAGTTAATTCAATATTGCTAATTAAATGATTGTATGTTCATCTCACGGGAAAAACCCGATTTAATCTAATAAAATGAATACATGTTCCATTAAGAACCCTCGTCTCGGGAGTATTTTTTTAATAAAATTTGATTTAAATCAAATAAATCGCCTTTTGCTTTTTATTTTTTTTAAAAATGATGTTTTTACCCAACCTTACCATGTAATTATGCAATATATTGTAACTAAGTTCGCATTTAGATCAAGGGTATATTATACTATCCATCATTGGAATATATATACTAAATTATGAGATAAAGTAAAATTTTGATTAAAAATATAAATAAGGTTGGTTTAAAAAAAGGTAGAAATTAGTGGTAAAAAACAAAAAATTAATAATAAATTACATAAAATCCCCAAACATTAAAAAATAAATAAATAGTTGTCTTATATAAAACATATTCCCAATTAAAAATGAAGACTAAATGATTTAGGACTACATACGTTAACACCGTCCACCATGATGGGGTTATTTGATCTATTTCTCAGGGCGGTGTGTAGAACGGCTCTATCTTCCGTGAAGTTTATCTTTTGTCCCGTGAACATGGCTTCCCTCATATCGGCCACTTTTCTTTCCTCCGCCTAGTACAGTGGATGGGAATTATAATTTAATTGTAAATGATAAAAAAATTAAAACGCATTCATGTTAATATATTCTTTTATGGTAAGTGTCGTTTAAGTCACCTAGCTTTAGGCCGCATTTATAGTGGTCCGACACGATATAACAGCTGATCGATTTTTTAAATAATGTTAATGAGATCAATTTTTCTTTATTAATATTAGTTATATCTTCAATTCTATTCATGAAAATAATCTAAATAAATTATTAATTTTAATAAAGAAAATTTAAATCGTGCCGGATCGGGTGCCACTATGAATGCGGCCTTGTGTCAACCTCCAATATGGTAACGTTCAAGCTTTTCGGTGTATATATAAAAAACCTAAGTTATATCTCTAAGAATTAGACTCAACTTGAAAATTGAGACAATTTTTATTTTGTCAGAATAAAAACTTCGTTGAGTCGTTTTAGAGTTGGCCAAAAAGTTAGATAATTTTTTAAAAAAAAACACTATTTTTAAAGTCGTGGATACATAATCGTTTTTTTTATTTCATTTTAAAAACAATATTCGACAATAATGAAGGTGTCAAAAACACTTCGATTTCTCCCTCCGTAATAATCGTTCGCGCCATATTAGTGAATATTATAAATGTCAACGGGGCTTCCGAAATAAACCTCAATTTTTACTAGTCGATCCCGCTCAAATATATTACGAAAATATAAATTATAATATACCATACCAATGCGAGGAGCATCTTTAGGATGTCTTGATCTATTAGATTCTTGGAGTAATCGACCAGAAAATCTCCCTCGGGTGTAGGCAGTGTTATGCTATTATTTAAAATATGCATATTTTAAAAAAAAGTAATTATATCTTCAACAAAGTAAATATTTAATCGACATCATAGATGATTTATGAATGACATAACTCATAGGCATGATTGAGATAATTTAGCTAAGTTGGGGGGGGGCATCATTAAGTGAGGTTTAATCTCATAAATTTTATTGGAGGGCTTTAGGTCCACTTATTGTATGGCTATGTCATATTTTTATAAAAAATCGTTCTAAGTTATCGCTCATTTTTTTCTAAAAATTTTGAATTTATAGTCGTATTTTAAAAATTAATTAACCTTTACTAAATATTTTTATATTGATATGTAAGAAGAGGTTAGTCTTAGAAAATAAATTCTTTATTAGCTATAAATGATATTTATGAAAACAAGGCAAATTTGCTTTGGGGGGAATTTGGTTATTAAATTTTAAAAAAAAGAAGATTAATTAGGTCTAAATAGCTTATTATTCAATTATAATCATATGGTTATTTTTTATCCACCATCCTGAAAATCAACATTATTATAATACTTCCACCGACATATTTCTTATCCTGTCTTCTAAACCCCAAATATGTTTAAAATTGAACAAATAATAAAACCGAAGTGGCAATGGAACGTGACTAATTCCATATCTCCAAACTCTTATCTATCAATCATGGTAAAATTCCAAACTACAACTGACCCGTTTAATAAAATTATGTTTTCCGATGAAATAATAAATTAATTATGGTTAGCAAGACCATTTAATTCACGATAAAATAATCAACAGCTTCAGTAGAGTATTTTCGTTATATGGAGTCCATTCCAAGCTTAGGAATTGTTACTAAATTATATACTCCTATCTCCAGTCTTTAACACATTTGAGAAACATATAGTTAATAATAATATAGTTATTCTTTTGATTTCTCTTTTTGGTCTACAAAACTTTTAGATTTTGATTCCTATCTTAGAACGGTAAATAATATGGCACCCATAAATTCGGAGCACACAGTTTATGCTAAGTTATGGATTGCGTCTCTAAATATAAACGCAATGAAAAATAAATTAACAGTACTGCTTAGAGATTTTGCATATATGAAATTAGATATAATTGGCATCCAAGGAACCCGCTGCCCATGCGTTTGGAGAAGAAAGAATACAAGTTTTTTTGAAATTTATTTTTAACCCCATTGAGGCTAAGGGTTCCTAATAAATATAGCATATCTTTCGTTTCTTCGAAGCTAGTCGATATGATGACTATGACATCGGTATAAGATATTATTTTGTTTTCTAAACGTATCGTTGTGTTTGAGCTTATTTCTACTAGATTTGCGCATCCTAGGACCTCTTTTATAATTTTACTGATTATGATATTAAACAGTAACGATGATAGAGTACAGCCTTGTTTCACACCTTTTTTTCTGAAGGTGGGGGATATTTTATTGTTGACTTTAAAGCAGACAGATAGTTTAGAGTAATGATTTCTCAGAATGTAGATAATATTGGGTTCGATCCCACTTTCCAATGAGTGTCCTCCATAGGGCCTCGTGATTTACAGTATCGAATGCTGCTCTACTAAAATCTATAAAAGTGAAGAAGGCAGGGATTTTATATCTGTAGCATTTTTGTATTGTTATTTTTAGCAAATGGAAATTTAATTTCGGACCAGGACGAACAAATAGCATTATGGTTAGATTACTATATGACAGTTTTTGATTCAAGGAAAGCCGTCTGCCAGACAAACACAAATGAGCATGTAACTCCACCCCCATCCGGTTTCTCCACTGAGGAAATCGAAAAAGTAATTAAAAAATTACGCAATAATAAAGCCCCTGGGCTTGATAATATAACAGCGGAACATCTAAAAACAGCACCCAAAACTGTATCTTCTTTCCTGTTATCTCTGTATAACAAAATCTGGGATAGTGGCAAAACACCTGTAGAATGGAATAAGTCCTATTTATGCAATTTTCCCAAAATAAATGACCCAAGAGAGTTTAAAGACTATCGTGCGGTAGCCCTTACATCTACAGTATCTAAGATTTTCATGGTCCTTCTAAAAAACAGGATCATGTCTTCAATTCCAGACTTACTACCCAAATACATCTGTGCTTATAGGCCAAATAAAAATATTCTAGAGCCAATTCTAGCATTAAAAATAACAATACAAAAATGCTACAAATATAAAATCCCTGCCTTCTTCACTTTTATAGATTTTAGTAGAGCATTCGATACTGTGAATCACGAGGCCCTATGGAGGACACTCTTGGAAAGTGGGATCGAACCCAATATTATCTACATTCTGAGAAATCATTACTCTAAACTATCTGCCTGCTTTAAAGTCAACAATAAAATATCCCCCACCTTCAGAATAGAAAAAGGTGTGAAACAAAGCTGTACTCTATCACCGTTACTGTTTAATATTATAATCAGTAAAATTATAAAAGAGGTCCTAGGATGCGCAAATCTAATAGAAATAAGCTCAAACACAACAATACGTTTAGAAAACAAAATAGAAGCGAAAGATATGCTATATTTATTAGGAACCCTTAGCCTAAGAATAGGGTTAAAAATAAATTTCAACAAAAATTGTATTCTTTCTTCTCCAAACGCAACTCAAAATCTAAATTTCACAATCGATGGAAATGAAATCAAAATAGTTGACAAAATAAAATATCTAAGCGTCATATTTGACAACACAGAAGGTTATAAAGAAGAGCTGAAAATAAGAATACAAAAAGCAAGAGGAGCCTTTTATAAATACATGAAAATATGGAAAACAAAAGAAATATCTGTACATACCAGACTAAGAATTTTTAATTCCACAGTTATTCCAATATTGCTATATGGAGGAGATCTATGAGAATTAAACAAAACGGAGAACAGAAAATTACAATCATTCATAAATAACTGCCTCCGAATCATTAACGGAATCTTCTACCCAAGAGTAATATCCAACAATAATCTATGGAAGGTATCAAAACACACCCCAATAAACATTACCTTAAAAAAACGGTGCATTCAATTCCTCTCATACATAATAAGGAACTCAGAACATAATCTAATTCATGATGCAATTAAATGGGTATACACTTATAAAAAAAAGAATACACTAAATATAAATCCCTATGGTACTATAAAACAATAAAAGATGTTATGGAACTTAACTTAAACATGAAGCAATTCATCAAACTAAATAATTGCAAAAACTTATCAAAAAACTTTTCCGTATTAAGGATAGATATCTGAAATAAATAATTTCTTAATATTTCTAAACCACTGTGTTGCTACTAGATCAGGACAAACTAAAACTCAATTGGTATGTACTTTATATTTTAAATGTTGTTTGAAACAATATATGCCTGAACAAAATTTTTTTAAACTTAAAATCAGCCACAACCCACCCTTAAAGTAATTACTTATGCAGCAGTTCTTGGGCATAGGCTCTTTATCTCTGCCCCGCTCTTTCTCTTGGAGCCTATGGATGCCTAAGTGCGTACAAGTACGTGCGGCTTGCCCACAAACGTGTAGAGGGCTCCTCGCATTTTTTTACTTTCGTACCCAAATTAATTTCGTTTTTTCCAATTAGATGGAAGTGAGGAATACCTAGCGTAGCTCTGTTGTTTACTCAACAGTTAGAGGGCATATGCGTTATATTTCACGTATCACGTAATTTGTAAAAGTCGATCAAAAAATTTCTAATATTAATCTTAAAAATATAGGCCAAGAAGAAAATCTTAAACCCAAGCCAGGTCAATCAAGACAATGGGACATGGAATGGAAATTATATCAAAATATTTACGTGGGAAAGGCCTGAAAATAGGTGCCTCTGCAGATCTGATATTTTTAGATTTTTAATTTAATTATCAAATGGATGTAAATAATTTATTAGCATGTTCGATATCTATATTTTATTTAAAAATTTTCTTTTTCTTTCTTTCTTATGGCATACTAATATAGATTTGGTATGGAAAGTTGGAATTTTAACAAAAAGTCATTTTAATATGTAATTTAAACAAATTCTAATCTACAACTATGACAAATTATGTGAAGAATGTCTATGAAAAATAAATTCAAGAATGTTACTTTTAATTCTAAATTTTTATATAATCCTCAAAGTGAAAATTTTAATTGCTAGGTTATATGATAAAAGTGAAATTGGGCATTTTGAATGAATATAAGATATCAATAATTTAACACTTGAAGAAATGTCAAATATATTTTTTATGTTAGCAAAATACATAATTGTTTGCCAATTATCATTCAAGGCCATTTACAATTAGTTTGTAATTGTTTTTTAATTGATTAATTTATACATTAAAATCTTAATACTCCAGAGATATATGTAACCAACCAATTTATTTATTACATAACTTTATAGTATCAATCTGAAATACTGAAAAAAAATTGTATAAATAATAATTTTTAAAATAAGAATAATTGATAATAAAAATTTTGCCCAATGTTTTAATAAAATTAATATAGTATACCTAATATTAAATTAGTCAGTAGAAATTAAAAATTTATATATACCTGAATTCCTTAGCTCTTGTAGGATTTTCTGCAAACATTTTTTTCATACTAATGTTCCTGCCTTTTGCCTCAAAATACTTCTGAAGTGCTTTCCATGATTCACAGGAAGTTAAATCCATTTTGCTAATATGATCTAATTTATATTATTTGCTAATATGTTCTAATTTATATTATGAAAATATTTTCCGAGATATCAACGGGTATTAAGTTATTATATATAAAATAAATCTATAAAATGGCCTAAAATATATTAATAATACAAAATATTGAATGACTGTCGAAATTTTATAAATTTTGCTATGACTTTGAAATGCGCATTTATAAAAAATGTATAATCATGTGTTTACAAATTCAATGATAAACAAGAATTTTAAAATTTTTATATAATTATAATTATAAAAATTTTAGTCTATATACTCGCCAAATGTATATATTTTGTCTACAATTATATTTATTAAGAATTATATTGTATCTGCGAACTGTGAAAAATATAAAATAAAATATATCAATTAAGTTACTAGATAATTTCTAGCTGTTTACAAACGTGTTTATTTATCAGTTTTATTTATAGATTATGATTATCTTTCTACTTCGATTTAATTTAATATAGTCGTAAATAAAAAAATGATATGTAAATTTCAAAAATTTATGCCGATATCTTAATTTTATATTTTAATGTTCAGGGGAAATATGAATCATAAATCACGCTTAATTATTATATTACCTCTCGATAGATTTCTTCAAACGTGATTTTAAATTGAAATATAGATACCTATATTTTGAAACACCACCACCCTCTTAATAAAACTTAACCAATGTTTGCGTTTTTTACTGAAGGTGTCTAATAGTGACGAAGCGTTTAGTTTAGAATACAGTTGGGTAATTTAATTACTATATTTTTAGCTGCCTAAGCCAATTTTTAATCGGTTAAAAATTCGGCTAAACCAAGTTTTTAGCCGAATACTATCACTTTGGCCAAGGGGTCCTTAAGAAACTAAAATAAATTAAAACCCCTTAATGTTAAAGAATTTTCTCAGATAAGCGTCTGAAGATTGAGCCGAATTAACCGAAATTTAGCCATTACTCAAATATAATAGGGAAGCAATAAATTTTAATTATTATTAGTAGAGCCTCACTTCCCCAATATCTATATAAACAGGGAAAGGAGTAAGAGCCATCTGTTTCTATATCTTTGAAAGTAGGGTAGTGTTGTTAAACGGCACAATTAGAGTGATTTTTTAAAATGATCCGATCAAGATTTTAGTCAAAATAATATTATGTAAGTCTGGAGATTTTCTAAATCTCGAGACTTACATAAAATTATTTTGGCTAAAATCTTAATCTGGCTGTTATAAAATTGACTCAAATCTCGGGGTAGAGGATAGATTAGGAAGATAGGGAGTAAACAAATTGCAACAACATACATGTGAAATTCTCATTAAAGTAAGCTTCATCTACATTAGAAATCTTAGGGCTCAACTCAGCACATAGGAAAAGACCAGATAGCATAACACATATAAGGAAGGCAGAAAATTTACCTGGGATACATAAATGTACTAACAATTTTACAGCTAGAAACTATCTTGAAACTCCATAATTTAAATTGAAATGCGACTATGTCATTAAAAAATCTATGTCAATGTTTTGCAGTTTTCAATGGCTATGACTATGAGTACTCTAATTTATATAGTTGCCTGCTCATATAAAGAAAAAAATTATTTGCCCAAAATTTTGTTAGAAATAGAATTATCAGAGCTTAATTGTATATTGTTTTAATTCATTAATAGACACAGTATAAAGAAAAATTTATTAGAAAATGGAGATAAAATTCGCATCTCGCTAGAAAAGAAAAAAATATAGAAGAACTAAATATATGGTTCACGTTAATAAGTACCTGGCTAATACCTGTTATTTCCTCAATTAGTCTTGAAAAACACAAGTAGAAATTAAGTTATAACAAATGTGAAGCTAAGCAAGCTATTGGAAACACTAATTCTTACTAACCATTAGTACCCAATTAGTAGAGTCCTACACGGGCTGTCTGAAATCTCGGGGGGCTCAAGTATTAAAGACTTTTTTCTAGGGCTTGGGTCGGGGTATTGGAGGCAGCCCGACCTGTAGTTCCACCCGAGTCCTGAAAATTAAATATTAGCTCAATATTCGTTTTATCAAAATGTCAATCAGTCAGAACCACATGTCATTTTTCATCTATCACATTTCACTTATTTATTTGCGTGATTTAGATTTCCAGGTTAACAATTACCTGTGATTGTGTTTTGTGTTGTGACGTTAAAACTCTATGCTTGCATATATCATATTATATCAGGTTAAAAAAAATACCCATTATATTAGCCAACATAAAATCGAAAATATTACTCTGTTGTAACAGTTATGAAATATTTTCATTTGATAATTTTTGCTTTATCTAAGATGTATTCAATTAAATAGGCTCATATTAATAAAACTGCTTATAGAATGGATCTAAATTTTTTTAAAAAAAATAGTTTTGAACTCAAGAATTTAAACCAAAGAAAACACAGGTAAATATTTGATATATGGAAGAAATTCCACTAATTAGTACATTTTATTTATTTGTTCCGTTTGATTTTTAGGATATTAAATAGTTTAAAAAAAGAAAATTTTATTGACAAAATAAGAAAAAATTATGAAATTAATGTGATTTGATTCGATTTAAATTTTCAAAAATTTTATACTTCATATCAAGACGCAGTCTTGCAAAACTTCTGAAAGCACTAATTCCAGAGCTTAAACTAATATGTAGTGCTTAAATACTTATTAACCCTTAATCCGTTCGGTAACCTTTATAAGTAAAAAGGTTATTAGCAAAACAAATAATTTTTTAAAACTGTTAACAAAATTAAAAATAGGGATATAGATGCACTAAAGCAATTATAATAAAAATAAATAATTAAATAAGCGATATATATATAAAGAATCGATTTCTATCATATATTAAATATGAAACTCAATGTCTCCAGCTGTAGCATTGACACTTTCATAACTTAGTAGCGTTAGCATAAAAAAAAATTTTCTTTCTTACTTTCTTCAAATAGACTTGTGGCATCTTTAGAAAATCTGATACAGCAAATAAATAGACTTGTGACATCTTTGAAAGATGTGACCAAAATAAGATGAATTGGTTACGGTGAAATTGAAAACGATTATAGTAGCTGATTTTCTACCCTCAATCAGATTGTTTAGTAAAGTAAAACTTATCTAGTGTGTATTTTACAATTGTCCCATACGAAATATAACGTCTTTCATAAGCCTTATGTTTAAAAACAAAAAAAATTTTTCAAAATAATTTTCAACACAAATTTTGATGAGAAAATTTTATTAAGTAAAAAATATCTATAGTATTGTCAAGTATGTTTTTTTCCCTGTAATTCTTACGTAGATAAAGTAAAATTCCGAGACAATTTTATAGAATTATAAAATTAAGGAGGGTGTTTAATCGGTTTTTTTAAAAAAAATCATAGTAAATAATTTTGTTATAAGTATGGATATAAAAATAGGCGTACCCAAGAGGGGGTAGGTGCAAAGTGAAATTTCCTTAGCCAGAAATAAAATTTAAACCTTTTAGTTTAGATAATTTTAAAATGAGATTAGTTTGCCCCCGGGGTTTACCAAGTCCCAGTCTCACCTATATATATATATTATGACCGTAAATAAGATATACGAATGTAGAGGGTGAAATATTAGGTCCAAGCATATATAGACCATCCCCGGTAGATTTTTTTTGTATACATTCATGCGAATTAATTCATTTCATCTGATTATTTAGGCATATTTTTAAAACCGAAATACTTATATAGCTCCTTTTCTAATTTTTGAAAACCTCGATTTTAGCTAAATCGTATACTTGAGATATATATATTATATACCGAGTATTATCCACACTGCAGTTGCAAATTTCAAACAATTTGGCCTTGAAATTTTGTAAGTGACCACTGCTAATTTATTTTAATTTTTCTATACATATACATTTTTCCTCATTATTTAAACACCAAAATTTAGGGCAAAAATGTGTAAAATTCATGGAATATAAAATATATTCCGGTATTTCGACATGATTGCGCAGTTTTAAAAAGTTGCTGAGAATTTGGATCAATGAAGCATGAAGCATAGCCATGAGTATGTTAAAACTCCCTACGACATTATATTCTTATTTAAATTTATTTGCTTAACTAAAAAAATATTGGAGATAGAACAATACGCTTTTAGGACACCAAGCTTTATATGATTTTATTCAGAATAGTAATTCTGAACACCATTTTTTTTTAAAAAAAATATAGATTTCGACATAATATGAATGATGATACTTTTTTTTTGGTAGATGTAGTCAGCCAATTTATAATTAAAAGAAAAATTTTTCATATCAGGAAACACTTTCCCAAAAAAAGAAGAAAAAAATGTTATACATTGAAAATTAAAATAAAAAGAACGGAGATTTAAAAAAAAATATTTAAATAAAAAAAGAATGGAAAAAGAATGGAAAAGAAAGAAATAAAACATGATAAATATTTTAATGGATTTTTATTTTAAGCGAAAAATTTATATAGAATTTTTTTTTTCGTTTATTCAATCGCCGGGAGAAGATTTTTCAAAAAAAAAATATTACATTCGTCGTTGAGATAAAATAGAAATAGGCTTCCCCTTCTTGAACGTATTATAATTTATATTATATATTTCTTTTTTGAGTTTTTTATTTTGTACCAAATTTATATTTTAAAAAAAAGTAAAACTGAAAAGTAAATCAAAATGTATTACTTATATAACATTTTAACTTTTAAAAATTTATTTACAACGATATATTGATTAATCTTGGCATAATATTTTTACTAAATAAATTAATCTTTTTACTTTCTTTTTTTTTCTGATTCCATTTTTACACTTTTCCTCTTATCAAAAATAATGCGGTTTGTGGCAAAAAAAAAATTATAATATCATCAAAAAAATAAATAATAAATAAAAGGATTCAAATTTTGAACAATTTATTTTATTCGTTCTTATTAAAAATACGGCATCGATGAAAATTGATCCATTCTCCATGTAGGACATTTTTGGATCGCCCAAAAAGTAATTGTATTATAATTATAATTATTTTATTTTTTATTATTTTATTTATTAAAAACGAAAATTTAAAAACAAAAGTTTTTTAATATAAGGAAACAAATCACAATTATAAAAAAATAAAAACATTTTTAAAAAAAATTTT